GCACTGGTTAAATGATCTTTAAACTTGTATTTGGAGACAAGCTATTTTGGAATTTTTTGGAATTTGTTTTACAAAATGCTTTTTTCCAATTTTTACAGATGGGTAATACTTCTATTCGTGGAACTAATTTAAGTGTGGTATCTACGATACTTGCAACTGGAGTGTTCCTTGTGAAACATCTAAAGAGTAGAAATCAAGTTGCTCATGAAATTGTCAATCATGATTTTCAAGCTGTGTGACTTACTACCAATAATATACTGCATAGCTCTAGAGGGGTTAGTGCTAGAGAGCAATTGTTAATCTTTTTGCATATAATTGCTCACAATGTAAGATTGAGAGTAATTGGCTCAAGATATTATAGGTCAACATAGACAATTTGCTGTTACTTTAGATCCACATTGAGAGCCATTTTTGCGGTAACCGGTAAATAATATTAAAGAAGAAACAATAAACAAATACAACGGGCATACCCATGAGCAAGGGAAGGCCGTAGCCACCCTAAAGTCAAACAGATAAAACAAGATCACAAGGCACGCAGGCCAAACCAACAAGGAGTACACATGCACGTAGGCCAACATAAAAATCAATACATGCATAGGGCCAAAGGTGCCCAAGGATAGTGTAAACCATAACTTCGATTTTACATACAATGGACTTAATATCAAATGACTTATTATCAAAAGAGACCTCATTCCGAACTTTCCAAACCATGAAAGTGGTGCAGGCAAAGGCAAGCTTCTGCATCTTCTTCTTTGCAGCGTCTCCCTTCCTGTATGTGTGTAACCAGCACAGGGCTCTGTCCAAAATCGTCAGCTGAGCTTCAACACCCATCCAAGCACGAATATATCTCCAAATCTGTCCAGTGACAGTGCACTCAAAGTACAGACGTCTAACTCTATGTGACTTTATTATATGCCTATGATGACTCTCTCTTACTTTGTTATGTTATCATACTGTTCTCGTTGACCAATAACATTATGTTGCTTGAATTACACTTATTAAATGTTTAATTCGTATTATTATGGCATGTGTGATTGTTTGGCAATATGTTTCTCTTTAAGAACATATTGTCCCTTTGGGAATCAAAATGCATTAGTTCACTTTTTAAGGGAAACTCTTGCAAAAAAATTTTAAAATTCTTTTTCGAAACTTGTTTTTGGGCTATCCTTCACTACCCGGGCTTAGCTTAAGGGGGAAGGACCTTTTGATAATGCCAAAAGGGGGAAGGAAGGATAGTTGAGAAAATCTTTTCAAAAACGTTTTCCGCTATCACTCCGTTTACTTCTATTTACTTCTTACTTGCAGGGGGAACTCTTCAATTAAAGGAAAGTATTTTTTTCTTGGTTCTTTTGCTCTTATCTCAACTATGTTTGTCATTATCAAAAAGGGAGAAATTGTTGGACGTGAGTTCAAACCCTTTAAGATATTTTTTTGTCATGAAATTAATCTTTCAGGTTTTGATAAATGACAAACGCAACGAAGAACGAAAATTTATTTTTCAGTTCAAGAAAGCAAAAGACACATCAAGAAATTCATGACTACCGTTCATTATCCCTACGCAAGATCTTGAAGTGAAGAGAAGCCTTCCGAAGACTTTTATTTCTTTGAGTCTAGGAAATTTGTAAGGATGACCAAATATCTTTTTACTTAAAAGTTATTTTATTGAGGGATATACATTAAAAATTTATATTGATTTTTGGAGTCAATTGAAAAACCCTTTAACGATTCAAAAATAAATTTATTGAGTCAGTTACAAAAGATGTGTCAAACAATTTTAAATAATCTTTTTGATAGTAGAAAAATATTTTTGGGAAGCAAAAATACTTTTACCCAAAATATTCTTTTGACATTGTTTGACACACAAAATATTTTTTGGGACTCAATTTCTATACCCTAAATCACAATTCACCCCATTTATTCAAAAATTTATTTTGAATAATCCTTAGATGTGATTGGGAGTCTCTTGTGCTGGAATCATGTTGGGAACAACAAGATAGGGACAAATGTCCTTCTCTATCTCACCATTGATTGATTCTTGCTGTCTCTGAGAAATTCGCAGTATTAATCGATTTTCTATTTTGTACAAAAATCGATTTTTCTTCTATCGCTGATTGGGGTCTCTCGCCCAGTTTTTTAATCGATTAATTCACATTTGGTGAAATCGATTTCTATTTTAAATCGATTAAATGGATCCTCATTTAATCGATTAGCTACCTGTAGCGCAGAAGGAATTTTGCTCAGAAGCATCTAATCGATTTTTCCCTCTTTGTGCAAATCGAATTTTTGTCCATTGTATCTCATACTTAGCCAATTTCTTGCCCCAACGGACATATCAACTTTTCACCTATTTAATCCCTCTTCCTCTTTCATTCTAAACACAATACAAGCACTCCAATCCTCTCATTCATTATTTTTGATTCTCACTCCATCTCTTGATAATCAAATACTACTTTGAGAGCTAGATATATATATATATATATATATATATATATATATATATATATATATACTCCCTCCGTTCCACTGCGTTTGTCCACTTACCTTTTGGTACACTATCCAATGCACTTCTTTAATCCATTTTATCTTGTAATTTGTATATTAAAAAAATTATACAAATTATATATTAATAATCTATATGTTAAGACGAATCAAACAAGATCACACATGACTATTTTTAGGCTTACACATTAAGAGAATTTGATGAGTTAAAGTGCTTAGATGAACAGTTCCAAAAGTCAAATGTGGACAAAGACAATGGGACGGAGGTAGTATATATATATGTATGTGTGTGTGTGTGTGTGTGTGTGTGTGTGTGTGTATATATATATATTTCTTGAGTGCAAATATATTGTCATCCATAGAACTTACACTTTAAACACTACTTGCTCATTTGTGAGCTTTATTTCTTGTGTTGTTAAAATCATCTTGTTTTGAGTGTTGTTCTTAAGACTTGTGTGACTCAAGTCTTGGTGTTGTAAGAAAGTGAGGCTTGTGTGATTCAAGTTTTCAAGTTATACCGGTTTTTCAAGCACCCGTTGAAGCTTGAAGATTAGTAGGACTTTCGAGAGTCTCTCGGAGGACTGGATTCGCCACGAGGTGGTGAACTAGTATAAATCTCGGTATTCTTGTTTCCCTTACTCTTTAAATTTATTCCTGCGATTTTTATTTCACACACGTGAAAAACGCACATTCTTAAAATCAACTCTATTCACCCCTCATCTAGAGTTGCACATTTGTCTAATAGAGGTAAGCTGGCCCCCTACGGGTTCTTGATGGATATGATGTGAGGAATGTTTTTTCACCACATTAGTCCATCCCTGATCATGGTGAATCCCTTTAGCTTGATTCTTCTTAGTTTTTGTCTTAAAAGCATCCTTTTTAGTTGCAGACTGTTTGGCAGTTGCATTGGCAGCCTCTTTCTCCCAAAGTTCCTTCCCATGGAGCTCCTCCAACACCCTACAAGTGAGAGGATTGTGTCTCCAACATTTACAATGATAACAATATTTGAGTTGGTCCTCATAATCCACCTCCTGCACATAAGTCTTACCCATGACATTAATGGTGAATTTGGTTGAGAGAAGAGCTAGACAAAATTAGAGCTTTTCAAGCGCGTGAACTATTGTCGATTAGGTAATAGATGACCCGATTCTATGGAGGAGTTTTCCCACATGAAAATGGATATGGCGGTGGAGATGGAGGAGGGTCGGGGTCTACAGGCGCTTGTTGAGTGTTTTATTAGAATTGAAGAACATTATATTAAACTTAAGTTTTATGCTTATGTAAGTGGAGTTAGATTTCTTTGTTAGGTTGAATTTTTATAAATATTATTTGAATTTTAATTGTAGCTTGATGATTTGAATATTTTTGGTTGTTTGATACTCTTCATTTATAGTATTTGTTGGTTGTTTGATGCTGTGTTGTGATTTAGAGCAGGTTGATGTTGTTCTTATTGTGTGAAATTGAAAAAATTGTAGAGTTTTGAGCAATTGCTGTCAATTCAACGACAGAATTAACGACGAAATACCAATTCCGTCGCTATAACGGTCGGCATTTTCGTCGTTAAACTTGGCGACGGAACAATTCCGTCGTTAAAACCGTTGCTAGGTTCCGTCGCTAATCCCGTTGTTTCTTGGCAACAGATTCAAAAAACCGTCGTTAATTTTAATATTAACGAAAAAATAACGACGAAAAAAACCGTCGTTGCACCTATTACCTATGGAAATCGGGCTTTGGCGACAAAATTTTTCCGTCGCGATTTTAGAAGTTTTTTGTAGTACGATAGCGTGTACTGTTTTTCTTGACACCTTGCATACTCAATGGTCTCTTCCAATGATACAAATTTGAAGGCTCTCAAATAAGCTTTGAGACGAAGATTGAGGTCTCCAATGAAACTCTCTAGGTAGTGCTGATGAGGTAGTAGGGAATTCTTCATCAACATACAAGATGAAGAAAGAAATCTCATTACGAGTGAGAAAATCGATTTCGTAGAGAAGAAGGAAATCTCGTGGCTGCGTAACAGAAATGAGAGAGAGATTATTGAGAGAGGAGATTAGGATGAAAAATATCTTCTTCTTCCATCTCTATAGTTTAAGTCGAGTATTTATAGGGATATAACCCTAGCTTACACGTATGATAATATCAAAGTAAATACAAAGATAGAAAGATAGCGACTTTTAGCTAAGGCATGCATCACTCTCCACTTGCTATGTCAGACCCAAGTGAATCTGCAATTGGTCTCTTCACTCTCGGTTCGTAATCTGCCATTGACTTACTCGTTGATTCTCCGCCCGGCTGCTAGGCTGCAACCATGTTCGCCAGTCCAAGTAGTAGCTTTTACTAAAAAGTCCGCCCGGGCCGGTCTAGCACCCGGGTTGTCCGATCATCAGCCTGGTCAATCATGGATTTAGATCTATCACTTATTAAAATCAAATTAAATAAAAAATAGTTTTAAATATAACTATAATTATACCATTAATTATTTACTTAAATGACGCTCAAAGGTTAAAACCTGGGAAACAGTAGCAAATGAGCAGAGTGATGAGGTGCTCCTGACCAAGGCGGGAAAACGAGGCGAACGTGAGATAGATAGATAGATAGATAGAGAGAGAGAGAGAGCGAGAGAGAGAGAGAGAGAGAGAGAGAGAGCGAGAGAGAGAGAGAGCTCTCAGGTAACAGATTGAGATACGCAGTGAGGATGAAGGAGAGGTCAGGAAAAGGCGGTGAGCCGTCGGTAAACGAGCGTTACACTCAGTGGAAATCTCTAGTTCCCGTTCTCTACGACTGGCTCGCTAACCACAACCTTGTTTGGCCATCTCTATCCTGCAGGTTCGACATTTCTCAATCTCTATCTATCTAGGGTTTAATCGTTTTCAATACCTGAGCTGCGTTTTCGGAACTAGAGAGTTGGTATTTTGTTGTTTACTTTTCTCTGATCATGTTGTTGATACTCTGGCTGGTTCCTGGGAAACAATGACTCAAACAACATTTGTACATTTATCCTTTTTTTCTTTGTAAATATTACTGTACTTCTCGAATATTTTCCCTTCATCCACATTCGAAGGAGAAATCTTATTGCAATTTGTAAACTAAACCAAATAGACATGAGTCTTACTTGGAAGTAGGGTTTGGGGATGTTTAGATTTACTCAGAGCTTACCTTTACCCCAAGAACTACCCAAGGAGTCGAAAGCTGGAATTTTTGTATGTTGTTTTCAAAACTCTTAGGTTCTCAAGTGCAGGTGTGGGATTTTAGTTTTCTGATCATTTTATTTGATAATTAAACAACAAGGGGTAAATATTGTTTTAGATCAAATGCCTAGGGTCAGCGTTTATTCACTTGTCTGTTTGTTTGGTGTTACTGCTACTGCATTGCCATGGTATGAAGTTTTCAGATTTTCACCATTTATGTGATGCATGAATTTGACTTCTTTATCCTATTAAACCAAAACCATTTCCATTTTTATCAGGTGGGGGCCACAAGTAGAGCAAGCAACTTACAAGAATCGCCAACGGCTTTACTTATCTGAGCAGGTAAGATGATCTTCTCAAACATTTTAAATGCATATATTCTGAGCACTCACGTACTAGCTTGTCATGTGGGTTCCACGCCAGTTGTCAAAGTTCATGCTTTATTTTTAACTTTCATATTTAGGGCTCATTTGGTTTTAATTATCGTTTTGATGGATTCTGGTTTCTTGAATCAAGTGCTTAAGAATTAGTTGATTCTTGAGAATCAAGTAGTTGATTACTTCTGAGGTTTTGATTAGCAGAATCAAATCAATCAACTGCTTATTCTACTCAGAATCTAAAAAAAATGCAAAACTAGTTGATTTTAATGATAAGTTAGAATAAACTAGCCCTTATATTTCTATAAGTTGCTTTATGATTTTATCAATATTTTTGTTAGCCTGGTTCTATGATGAGGCAAGCTTTGTTGGCTTGAAATGTAGATAGGTATGATCTTCTCAAAGTGAAAGTGGTTTATTAGGCACTATAAGAAAGTTAGTTACTCCGTATTTGCTACGAGTATTCATTTTTTCCTTGTTTTGGACATGAGCACAAGAGTACACGGAATTGCTTTTAGCTGTTTTAGGAAATTAATGAATGTCCTTTATGATAATTATTATTGTGTATTTTAGATGAATATTATTTCCATCATCTCCGATGGAGCCAAAATTTCACCATTTTTTGGCTTTGGGGTGTGACGGAATAAATCAAAATGGATCTCTAAACTATCTGCGCTTCTTTAATTAATGAAGTAGCAGTTAGTCAAGCAATGCAACTTTCGACGTTGAGCCAGGGGTCTCTTTGGAAACAGCCTCTCTACTTTCAAGTAGGGGCAAGGTCTGCGTACACACACCCTCCCCAGACCCTACTCTTGTGGGATTTAACTGGGTTGTTGTTGTTTTTGTATTTTAGATGAATATTTTTCTGACCTTTTAAAATTAGAATCAATTTGGAATACATACTAGTCCCTGTCACACTATATTTGTCCCGTTTTGGTTTACGATATTTGACTGAAACTATAATTTATTGAACTTATCTAAATATTTGTATAAACTTATAAAAATTATATATATATATATTATATAAACTACATCAAAATTTCTATAATACAAGTGGTAACATGACTATATTATTTTAACAAACAATGGATGAAAATATGTAAAGAAAGAAGATTTAGTTTGACCATGTGAATAGTGAACACGACAAATATAGTGAGACAGAGGGAGTACTTAATTGCTACTAAATGTACCCACCCACACAATTGAAATGTGCCAAGGCTTTTCAATGGGGTTAATAATTCACTTCGAGTCTTGATTAGTGTTTAGAAGATTCTTTGGGATAAGAGCTTACAATTAATATCTACAAGTTTCCATCCCACACATGGCTTTACACCGGAACTCGATTCAAATGGATAAGACTTTTGGGTGACAATGTGTAGGGGGCCGGGTTCTAAAAAATTAATCCTCTCAGGTTTGAGTCATGTGTTTGATGTTATATTAGAAAACATGCTATCACCAACCTGACCTACCATGATACTACTAATTTTAAATAATTTACTGCTCTAGAAGTGGGGAAGACCCGCATCTGTTGGGGTGGGTTTTAAAAAAGTCTACCCACTTCCGGTTGCGGGTGGGTGGAGATATTACATTTTGGGCCTATGGTGGATCGTGGATGTAGCCTGGTCATTCCATTTCAGCTTACAATTTATTAATGCTAATTTTTGTTAACCTTTTGTTATTTTTGAACTTGTGTCCCCATGCTAGACTGATGGAAGTGTTCCAAATACACTCGTCATAGCAAATTGTGAAATTGTAAAACCTAGAGTTGCTGCTGCTGAGCACATCTCACAGGTATTTTCTTCTACATAATATAATCCATGGCTTTTCACTCTATAGACCACATTATTATTATTTAGTTTCTTATTCCTATTATTTTATATATTGCATTCCCGTTCTCTAGTTCAATGAAGAAGCACGCTCTCCTTTTGTTAAAAAGCACAAGACAATCATTCACCCTGGTGAGGTATGCACATTCCATTCTAAAGAGTTTATGTTGCTCTAGAATTTAGATTACGCGCCACATTTTTTGGGTGAGGTTTTCATTTTCCAATTTAGGTATGCTATCTTTAAACACGAGCACTAATACTGGAACAATGTCTTGGTTTCTGGAAACAAAAAACTTAGCTTTGTGTTGAATTGATTTGAAAGTTTTGTTAATGATGGCAGGTTAATCGAATCAGGGAGTTGCCCCAGAATAGTAAGATAGTGGCAACACATACTGACAGCCCTGATGTGAGTATTTTTTTGGGCCGATGTCTTTAATAGCCTTCTTCAGCAATCTTTTGTCATTCATTTTCTCTCTTTATTTGCGTTTTCATTTAATGTTTGATATTTTGACGTGATTACATGGGGTTCTTTAAATTGTGGGATTTGTGGAACCAGGTTCTGATTTGGGATGTTGAGTCTCAGCCTAATCGGAATGCTGCATTGGGAGTCTCTGATTCTCGGCCAGATTTGGTATGCGTTCTTGTAAAATATAATACTGCAGCTATTAAGATCTTTGTTAGTGATTGTCAAGTCCATCTACTCGTCCATTTACTTATAAATATATTTTTTTGGTTTGAGTCTTGACCAATGTTATCAAAATCGCAATCTAGATCGCAGGATCACGCGATTATATGATCCATGTTCCTTATCTGGATTGCGTCTTAAACCAGAAATGGCTAAGATTACACAAGATCATCGAGCTGGATTGTCAAGCTACGGTCATCAATCTGTTCGTTCTTAAGGAAGATCAAGAACGGGCCAGGTGGGGTCGTGAAGTAGTTAGTTGATGTTTGAAACAGATGGGTCAGGCCTTACAGATCAGTAGTGTACACCTATTACTCTGCGATTGTAGTCTTTAATGACTTTAATTTTGTCACTGAAATCCATCTGCAGTGTCGAAGACATTTTTCGTCATTCCCTACTCTTCAACAACTTAAATTATCTTCTTCTTTTAATTGGATCTTTACAAATTTGGGTGTCGGGACATTTACTTCTAAAATAAATTTCTCAAATTTGATTTGTCCTAAAATATACTCCTTATTCCTCTTTAAGAGAGCACTGGATAGTTCACATTATTTTTCTATCTTTTGCATAAATCTCAATCGCACGCTTTTATTTTATTTTTTTTGAAGAGTGAAAAAATGAAAAGTTTAATTTTGGGACAAAGCCACAGAGGAAGTACTCTATTCTGATGTTACAGAGGGAGTACTATTTATTCTGATGTTACGATTATGAATTATGGCTATTTATTTTAAATCTAAGTTGTTATGCACAGTCACAGAATTCGTTGCTACAGACGCGTCTTCCGTATTGGTACGCGACATGCCCAATCGCAATTCGACTGCAGTCCGAACGTCGGCGGTACGGCATTCCAAAATCGCGATCCGGATCTGAGACGGTTGGGTTTTGCTGGTGGGGTTCTTCCTGCAACTGTACTTCCGGATTTGTACTATTGCCCGAGTTTGCGATTCTGATCGCGAGAGAGATCTGGAATAGAGATCGTCCGGATCTGCGGCTGGGAACAGAAACGGTTTCCGAAAAAGAAACTACTCAACCCTTAGATTTTGACGGAAGCAACTGTACTTCTATGCTACCTTTTAATAAAAAGCACAATAGCTTCTATTTTCTCTTTTGGGCTGAAATTTTTATTGGGCTCAACTGGCTTCTAATTTCGTTTTTGCTATATTTTTTCTACTAACCTTTTTTTATAGTTATATATTGATATTTAGAAGTTTGTTTACTTATGTTTTGATTTTTGGTACACCGAACCGAATACATGGTACACCATACCGCTTCGTACCAAAATGAACCTACCCCCCTTCGTACCGAATTCGTCACCTCTAGCGAATTTCGTCCCCGAACTGCGTACCCGTACCGGAACGCACTGCGATTTAGGTGACGATGATTATTCATATGTACAGTACATACCATACTTCGTACTAGTATATTTTAAGTATTAACTACTACTTTAGGATCTTACAATCTGATTTATGATCCCCAATTGAAAGTTTCTATTCTAGATATCTGATGTGAGTACTTCGTTCTACTATGATTAATTTTGTCAGATCAGGTGGCTAAGACTTGTACCACTTTCAGGTGTTGACTGGTCATCAAGATAATGCCGAATTTGCACTTGCCATGTGTCCGACAGAGCCCTTTGTGCTATCTGGAGGTTAGCAGCCACCAAACATGTTCAAGTTTCAAAATATTTTGCTGTCTTTACAGTTTTAAGTAATCGGCTAGTTGCTCATGTGTTTAAGATACATGTGATATTAATACATAGATACAAATGATATTAACTTTTCCGACATGGAAGGACAAATGATGTTTTTTAGTATCAGCAATCAATGATATTTTTGGTGTATATCTGTTTAAAGTAATGCTTTGGATTCACTACATTTGGGACAGGAAAGGACAAGTCAGTAGTTCTGTGGAGCATTCATGACCATATCTCTACCTTGGCATCTGAACAGGGAGATAAAAGGTCTCCAGGATCTGGAGCCCCTACCAGTAAGCTGCCTGGAAATAGTCCTACTGTTCAAGCTCGGGGTGTTTTTGTAGGGCATGATGATACTGTTGAAGATGTTCAGTTTTGCCCTTCAAGGTATTTGACTTATCTATATCTGCATTCTTGTCCTTTTAGAATATTCTGTGTTGAGGTCAAAATGTGTTATGTAAACCATAAGTGTATAGGTTTACACTTTTACTATGAGCTTACAATTTTAGTTGAGTCAATAAATATCCTTTAATGCTGACAACAGCTTGCGTTTGAACTTCTAGATTACCAAATTTAAACATGTTTCTTTTTAAGCATAGCCACATTGAGAAAATCATACAGACTAATACGGTAGCGCTTTGACCTCTGCACATCTCAAATCCAACAAACATATTCCTTAAGTTTGAGTGCTCCACACTAATTATATTTAGGGGGGGTAATCTCCACTTACAGTTTTATTTGGAGCACAATTTTATATTGTTCATGGGAGGAGGGTCCAAGAGTTACTTGGAGTGCTCCAAGTAAAAATGAGTGGAAATAACAATTCCCCTATATTTGTTTCTGTAGCAGGTTGGGATATGCTACATTTATAATAATAATAATAATAATAATAATCCCCTTTATTTGAATCCCTTGGGGGGGGGGGGGTATTTATAGCCTCTTCCTTCCGTTTCAAGACCCGGTTGCTCCCGGGTTCTCTTTTTCTTCCTCTGTCCGAACTAAACGCCAAAGGTGACCCCTCCGGATCAGTTTTTCCAGTTCTTTCCTCAGTGTGTAGCAGTCATTGGTGTTGTGATCATTCTTCCGATGGTACTCACACCACTTTCCTATGTTTTTAACCTCCATCACCTTATTGGACTAGGTTGGGTAAGTGACTAATCCTCTTTTCCTCGCGTAGTCCAGCATCTCACCAACAAGGTGGTGTGTAATCAAGGTCAATTTCTTGACATCCAAGTGCGTGTTCTGGCCCGGACCTCTGTTTGGACCATCGGGAAAGCCCTTCTTGTTCTTTCCTTCTTCTTAGCATTAGCTCCCTCTTTCGTCATCCCGGGACATCCTCCGGCTCTTCATCCCTCTCTTCCAAGGTAATGTATCTGTCCTCCCTAGCCATGGTCTCCTCGAAGGAATCTGCCGGATGGGTAGTCAGGTCAACAGAGAATGGACCTTCCAGGAGAGAGGCGGTAAATATTACCAGGCCAGACTTGTCATCTGCTCCTTCAACTTTCCGAGACTCCTTCCTCCATCTGGTGAGGAATTTCTTCAAGGATTCACCCTTGTGCATGATGAAGGCAAAGTGGGTGAAGTGTTTCATGGGTTTGCAGTCTCTCCAGTTCGATGCTCCGCGGGGGAATAGAATCCAACCAACCCGTAACTGTACTGTCCACTGTTTGCAAAAAAACAGTGGCATATCAGATCATCCTCAGCCTCTATAGCCTGCATGTTATAATAGCACCTCCAGCCGGGTCAGTCTCCCCGTTGTACCTTTTCATAGGCAGGACCTTAAACCCCATGAGATATGAGAAGGCCATTACCCTTAGAGAGAAACGGGTCTCCTCCACCTAACTTGGGGTCCCTTCGGGGCATCCACCTTCATCTGCAATTTCTCCATTCTCTTGCGGAGGTCCCGCATTTTGTCTGAGCTTTCATCCCGACCTTCATCAAGGTATCCTGCTCTTGGTGCACGTCAGGCACTTTGCTCTTCGTCATCTCTTCTTCGGGCGCTGTCCCCCCACATGGAGAATCCGGCCATGCTACGTGTGCCCCGGATGTGAACCGAGATCATAGTTGGGTTCTTTTCTAGCCTCTCCTTTACTGGTACCCAGAGTCTTTCGAGGACCCTGCCACCTCGAGGCATCACCTCCGCATTGTACAGCTGGTTTGGGTCTTGGGTGAGAGAGACTCGGGACTTGCTCGTTACCGGTTCACCCACCTTTGCCTTGCCTTTGCCATCTGCCCAGCTGCCCTTGCCTGGTCTTCTGAAAACCTCATCCCCTGGGACAGAGCCACAGAGGTAACAAGGTCATACTGGCCAGGTCCCCATCCTGGGCTGGGCGCTTTAGAGTCTATCCCACATCGGAAAGTTGAATAGAAAAGCTATCGGTATATAAGCTCTTGAGTTTAACTAACTAATCGATTGGATTCAATCTTTTAATGAGGCTCAGCCCAAGTGTCTTATAACCCAATCCAGTTTTTCATACCCATCCTAAATTCTACATGGTATCAGAGCAGGTTTTGGCCCACCTCATTTGTCAAGGTGTCCGTCTAGACGTTCATTCCCAGCGGCTCATTTGTCTTTAGCCCAGTGTTCCGTATGGAGTATGTACCCAACAGCCTGTGGCCCATTTAACACGATTGCTCGTCTGGAAGTCCATCCCCAGCGGCTCGTGGTCCTTTAGGTGTTGGCGCTCAAAAAAAAAGTCAAGGGAATGGGAGTTCATTTGCAAGTGGTCAACCGGTTAGATTCAAAATGGCCCGGTTGTCCACTTGAGAGGGAGTGTTAGAGTCTATCCCACATCGGAAAGTTGAATAGAAAAGCTATCAGTATATAAGCTCTTGAGTTTAACTAACTAATCGATTGGATTCAATCTTTTAATGTGGTTCAGCCCAAGTGTCTTATAACCCAATCCAGTTGTCCATACCCATCCTAAATTCTACAGGATGCATCATGGCTTGCTTCAACCTGATGTGCTCGTTGTACTCCTGAATCTGGTCATTCTCAAACTCGATCTTTCCGCGCCTTCGGATATAGACTTACTGTTCCTTCCGAGCCTGCTCCTGGTCCGGAGAGGGCGTACGGGTCCCCAACTCCTGTTGTACTGCCCCACGGTTCATTAGGGATTGGCACATACGACGAATCCGGAATCCGATCCAATCTGTCCAACACACCGGTCAGCAGCAACGTGATGTTGTTCATGGCATTCTCCATCGCGGTAGGCTGGAGTGCCAACTCTCTCCCCTCTGCAGAGGGGTGTGGTGCAGCGGCGGATGACTGGGCAGTCGTCGCCGGAACCCTAGTGCTGTTTCTCGTCCTTCGTCCTGTCATGCTCACGAACATGCCTCGCACTAGTCTCTCAATGAAAGCACCAATGATGAACCTTTAATTCCACCGAATATGTTAATCCCACGATCCCTCAAGAATAATAAAAAATAGAAATGAATAGGAATAAATAAGAGACAAGAATGTTGAACTCAAGAATGATATGAAAGACTCCCCTTGATTCGGGGGTATTTGTAGCCTCCTAAGCTTCTTAATCTCACTAGCATTTACTTAAGATACTTAAGTAAACCTCTCTCCAAGTAATTAACTCTAGCGTATGGCGTTGGCCCATTCAGAAAGCCTCACGGCCTGGGTGGGTTAACCCACCAATCCGCTCAAGGGTAGCCTTCGGGTTTGGGCTCTAGTCGCTCGGCCTAATGCTTTGAATAAATATATTGGACTAATTACATTAATAATTACATCTCGACCCAATATACCCATCAATAATAATAATAATAATAATAATAATAATAATAATAATAATAATATTCTACTATGTTTGAAAAACACATGCAAAAATAGAAACTTTGTAGCATGCTAACACCTGTTTTTTCTTGATATAGTGCACATGAGTTTTGTAGTGTTGGTGATGATTCTTGCATAATATTCTGGGATTCAAGACAAGGTTCAACACCAGTCATGAAGGTTATTCACTTCATTTGCTTCTTTCTATGGCTAGAGCTTTAATTTATACTTGTAAAAGATGACTGCCAATTTTTGGAAACATTTTGCAGATGCCTTATTTGGTGGAATTAAATTATGAAGACATCATTATTTTTAATATCATAACAGTTGCTCTTATTTACTGTCAAGCATGCTCTTTCTTGACAATCAACAATCTATGTCATTTCATCGTATGAATATGTTTTGGAATATAATCTCAGAAAATTACTCATGGGGCACCCTCGATTTTTTTGGTAAGAACTTCCAAGTCTCACAGTATCTGTAATGTACTTCGAGGGTACAATCTGTCCATTTGGCCGTTATGATTTAAAGTTCCGTTAATTTGACCAATCGAAGACAAAACATTTTTACTCTCGGGTACCTCACGTTTTCTGCTAAGAACTTGCAGGTCGCATATTATTAAATCTTACATTAAATAATCATTATTTTTATTAAATTTTAATAAAAATTTTCAAATTTCTAAGTTAAATAATTATTATCTTAGTTGTTATAAAAAAACCCTTACCTTATTTACATTTTCATCACGAATATTATTTTAAATGATTGAAAAATTTATTTAAACTTTATTTTTTAAAATTAAAGTATTTATAAATTTTTTAAAGTTTAGAACTATTTATAAACTAAATTATTTATAATGTGTTAAATATTTGAAAATTGAATACATGTATGATAAAAATTAAATTTAAATGTTAAAAAACATGTATAATAAAATTGAAAAATAAAATGAATATAATTTTTTGAAATAAAATATGTATTGTAAACAAATATTTATTAAAATAATTTAATATTACAAATTAAGCATGTTAAATTTTTTTATAAATACTTAAAATAATAATATTTAAATTAATAAAATATATTTTTTATTTCATTTTTTTGTGTGATGAAAATATAAATAAGGTAATGGTTTTTAATAACAACGAAGATAATGTTTATTTAACTGGGAAATTGAAGGATTTTGTTAAAATATAATAATATATTGATTATTCATGGTGTATTTTAATAATATGGGACCTGCAAGTTCTTAGCAGAAAACGTGAGGTACCCCGGAGTAAATTTTTGAGTGTTTGATTCGGAAAAGTAACAAAACTTTCAACCCTAACGGCCAAATGAACGGAATGTATCCTCGGAGTACATTACCACGAATTTTAAGGACCCCTAGAGTATATTTCATATAATTTGGGATCTAGGAGTTCTTACTAGAAGATTGAGGGTACCCCAAAGTAATTTTCTGTTATAATCTAGCCTGTTATTTTCTAGATTTTGATTGAAAAGGTTTTGGAAATGTCTTAAAGCGGAACTGATCAAACTGCTTATATCTTGTCTAAATCCTTGTATTGCTCCTTGGTAAATTTTAATTTTTGTCGAGATTTGTCTTTTTTCTTAAGATGCTCCTGAAGATATTCCGTTTTCTTTGGTTGGCTATTTGTTGTTTAGCGTACTGCGTACACATGCAACTAGATTTTAATCTGGACTGTTATTTTCTGGCAGGTTGAAAAGGCCCACAATGCTGATCTCCATTGCGTTGATTGGAACCCATTTGATGTGAATCTTATCTTGACTGGGTATTACATGATAGCTATTACTTTCCGAACTCTGCTGTGAAATTCTTCATGTAATATAGACAAATATTTGTTTTGTTGTGATTTTTGTCTGAGATTAACACACCATTTAACTGTTGACCTGGTGTCACCATTAGTATAAAAAATCTATTCCAGGTATTCATATACCCTGTTTCTTCAGGTCTGCTGACAACACAGTTCGCATGTTTGATCGTCGAATACTCACTTCTGGAGGAGTAGGATCTCCTATCCACATATTTGAAGGCCATTCTGCTGCTGTTCTATGTGTCCAGGTATTATATACTCTACTCACCCATATCATTTTACAAGTCATTTTTTCCTTTTCAGTTTGTTCCACGGTCATGTCCGTTTACTAAAAAAATATAACGTTATACATTTCTCAATTTACCTTTATGATTTGACACGAAGTCCCCATTTGCACAACTTTTTATGATTCGCCCGAGGGAAAAGTGGAAATTTGATCTCATATTATTTGTCTCATTAATGTTTGTACGAAAAACAATTTGGTTATATATGATGGTACAGATGGAATATATTCAATATATTGAGATTTCCCTGTAATCATTAGGAGGAACATGTTTGCCTAATAGCTTCATGGGTGATTTAGCAAACTTTTACATTTTGCAGTGGTCTCCGGACAAGTCATCTGTCTTTGGAAGTTCTGCTGAGGATGGCATCTTGAACATTTGGGATCATGAGAAGGTTTGTGTGATGCACGCTTATTCCTTCTAGCATTTAAAACTTATGCAGATGATCTCTTCTGTCAAATTACTAATGGAGCTAAGATTGTCATTATTGTCAATGTTTTAGCTTCACCCAAATAATGGACTAAATCAAAATGGCACATTAAATTCCCGTGCTTTGTACTTTCTATGAAGTTATGGTTTTGGGTAGTAAATTCAGCAATGCATCAAACTGTACATCTTGACCCCTACATAATTCCATTGGGATTATAGTGGGTTTCTTGTATATGTAGTTGATCTTAAAGTTACCTTTTGAAAACTTTTCATGTTTCATTATTTAAATGCTACATGTTTTCCTGTTTAACATATTTTGTTTTATGATAAAAATGTTTGATCAGATTGGTAAGGAACATCAGGACACAAAACCCACAAATTCTCCACCAGGCTTGTTCTTCCGTCATGCTGGACACAGGTTTGATTGATGCTTTTCTTCAATTTTCATCCGCTTTCTTGTGGCTTATTCCTCCTTGTTAGATGCTATGAGTTATTTTGCTCTGTTAATCTACTCTATACTATTCTCTGTACAACAAAGAAGAAAGTAAAGAGGTCCACAAGAAAGAGGAAAATGAAGAAAATATTTGAACTCTTTATTTTTAAATACAAAATATTTGAGCTTATGAAAACATCTTTGAGAGAATTAGTGCCAGTTTGGTGACCTTTTATTTATGCTTATCATCATTATAATTTATGACTTACAAGCCACATGATTTACTTTTACCAAGTGCCAGTTGCTATTAATTACTCCGTATTTGACTTCGCTTGCCGATTTTTTATGACAATGGAAAAAGTATTGCATAAAGTATTACAGTATTCATTTGACTGATGTTGCTAAAGTAATGAAAATGACTATTCTACCCCAATCTTAGATATCATTCTCATTGATTTCTTAAATAAATACTCCTTATATTTTAAGTGTTTCCGGTAATGCATGGAGCTGAGCATCTTCAGCAGTGTAGCATATTTACTTAAACGGTTTCAGTGAAACTCATCTTTACGAAATGAACTCTGAAAAGCCAGAGATTGGACCTGTTCAAACTTATTAGTACAGTATTATATTTCTTTCTTTTTTTTTCTCCCAACATATTCTGAATTACAGGCTACCATATTGTATTCTCTTTTTCTTAAAACACTATTGAGAGAATCAAATGATTATCCTTTGCTGCAAAAGATGTGTATAACATTATTGTGAGAATCAGTGCTATTTATTTTTACATCCATTTCAAAAATTTCCATTTTCTGCGAGTGTACTTAGGGATAAAGTTGTTGATTTCCACTGGAATGCATCGGACCCTTGGACAATTGTTAGCGTATCTGATGATGGCGAAAGCACCGGAGGAGGTGGCACTTTGCAGGTAAAAACCCAAACTCCCCTTTCCATCTCACCCCTCACCCTCCACACAAAAAGAAACAAGTTTTATCGATTTAGGGCTCGAAGGATTACTATTCATATTTTCAGTATGCTTTTATTTTATGTTTTCCGTTTCATGGGAATGGCTCAACACTTTGCAAGTCTGTGTTTCTTGACTTGAGAAACTTGTTCTGCAGATATGGAGAATGATGGACATCATTTATAGGCCACAAGACGAGGTTATCGCCGAGCTGGAGAAGTTCAAGTCTCACTTGCTCACCTGTTAGTTTCTCCAATTTCCTTGTTTTTCGCCGGGGACGAAAAAACTTGTAGAGAATTGAATTTCAGATATTCCATACTGGAATGCCAAGTGCGAGTCAATTTGGTGGAATTTTGTGAAATATTTGTCATTTGTTCATTTAATCTTTATAAAGTTTTGGGATGGTGTAAAGAGTTGGCCAATTTCAATTAAAGTGCTTATTCAAAGACTAATAATAATATTGTTCTTATATTTTATTTTCGAATCGGGTATTAAAACACAAGGGGTCATTGTCTACTATTATTAGACCTGGCAAAACAGAACTGGAATCGATTACCCGAACCGAAATATCTGGAACCGAAACCGAAATGAACTGAAAAATGAAGATCCGATCTATAACGGAAAACCCGAAATGATCCGAATCGAACCGAAACCGATTTAAATAATTCATATCCGATTTAAATTCGAAACCGATTAGATCTGAAACCAATAATATTCGAATCGATTAAACCCGAAACCGATTAGATCCGAAACCGACTAACTCCGAAACCTATTAGATCCGAAACTGATTAGAACTAAAATCGATAAATTCAGAACTATGTTTGCCTTTCAATAAGCATATTATATTTTTAAATTTTACTTTTATTTTATCATTTGAACTAATTACATTATTTGTTCATTCCTTCATAAAATAGATTATCTTCTTGAAAAAAGTACTAATTACATATAAATGATAACGCACAAACAAATAAAATTTATGTAATTTTTAAATAGTGAAGTGTGATATTCTTTTTTGGACGAAAGGATTATATGATGAATTGTATAGAATAACTAGATTTTATCCTAATTTCATCCCATTACAATAAATTTTATTGATTTGAGAGTTCATTTGATTAGTTTCAAACCAATTCACTCAATACTAGTTAATAAAACTAGATGCTAGTGCTAGTATTTTGAAAAGACTATCTAGCAGCAACATTTAGTGATATCATTTTCAAATTTGATCTACGCCGTTACATTTAAGTGTAAAATTAATTATATTTGACTCTATTAAATTTAATTTTATCTATTTTCAATCAAATACACTCAATAATTTGTAAATTTTGCACTCAATTGAATAAAATTCACTTAATTTCACCTAATTTTACTCAATTTTTACCAAATTGTATTCAAATGGAACATAATACTATTTAAATTTATCTTATATTGGAGCATTTATAAACATAAGTATACTAGTAGATGTGAGAAAAATTTGATATATCGATCAAAACTAAATTTTAAAATCAATTTAATTATATTAAATTTATATCATAATTAAATATATATGTTTTCATAATTTGTAGTCCAAGTTTGTAAAATATGACTAAAAAGTCAAAAAGGGAAGATTATTTAGGGTAGAGATAATATAATTAGAAAAAAATATAAAATAATATGAGGTACTGATTTGATGATAGATTGATAAATTTGATAAAACATAAAAAGAAACATGGATAGTTAAATTTTAATTAGAAAATAATATATATCCAAAATATATTTGATCTGAAACCAAAATATATCTGAACCGAACTAGACCCGAAACCGAAATATATCCGACTCAAATTGTATCTGAACCGAAATGTATTCAAACCGATTTATAACCGAACCGTATCTGAACCGACTCGAAACCGAACCGAACCGAAAAATGTATAGAACTGAATCAAATCCGAACCGAAATTAAACTGATCCGATCCAAACCGAACTGATTATAACATATAACCGAAATATATCCGAACAAAAAAAATCCAGCTCGAAACCGATCCGGTTGATCCGATTGCCACCTCTAACTAGTATGGTTTGGATAAATATGGTTTTATATGTTTTTTGAAAGTATCTCACTTTAATTAATATTACAAAGTTTTGAAAAAAACGTCAAAATAACATGTCAATTGTATAGTATGGGCTGAGGATGGAGTGTTACATCAAGTTTTTTTTAATTGGTGCGTATTCATATCTCTACATACCCTACATTTTCTTTCCTGAATCCAAATGTAGGCTCTATTTGGTTCAGAACCAACTCTTAAATTTCAATGTTTTCAATTTTTTCGAGTTTTTTCCAACTCTTTAAAGTTTTTTTTAATTCTTAGTTTTTTCTAATTCTTTCCAGTTCCTTTAAGTTATAGTTTCTTTTAATTCCTTTCATTTTCTTTTTATTTGTTCCAGTTTTTTTCAGTTTTTACAATTGAAACGAACAGAATTATACAATGGTTTGTCCTAATACAGACCATGTTTGCGTTACGGATGCCACCGCAACGCCAGTCCAAACCACACGGCCCAAGAGGACGAGGAGGCGCCCTAGGTGTTTTGACGATTATGTATAATGTTTCCGTGGAAGACTTTATTATTTTTATTTGATTAATTACTGTACGTTAGATTTTTCTAGGTGAGCGTGATATAAGCTCTTTCGAGGGTTTTCTTTTCGGTTCTTTTCCTTGACGCATTTGTTGAACCAAAAGGATAGATAACCTAGTTGTGTTAGGATTGGGATACTTCTTTTACCTATAAATAGGGGTATTTATTTGACATTGAATAACAAGAAGAAGTTCAACCATTCTTTACTTTCTCTCTTCCATCACCTCACGTCTCTTTTCCTCTCCCCACAACCGCCGTATGTTACTCTTGTAGTAACATTGGTGCTTCCATTCGACCTCAACCACGTTTCAACCAAGATGAGTTCCAATTCTGGCAAAGACTTAAATTTACTTCTTGACACTATGCACTTTTCTAAGGAAGGAATAGGTTTTGATAAAAATAAAGCTAAAGATAATGTTGAGCCACCACCTAGACAATCATCTAAGGTTCAACATAAGAAACCTAAAAATCAAGATAATAGAAAACCTAGTCAACCTAAGGACACTAGACAACCCAGACTAAAACCTAGGAACGAAAATAGTCATGGTAGGCAACCTAAGAAAAATGATTTTATGCATAAAAACGAATTTTCTCAAATTAGAAGAAATAATGCTAGAGCACATAGAAAAGGCCAGTTTCAAAATTTTCAAAAACCATTGTTTTCACAAAATAGGAACAAAATGGTCAAACCCTCTAACTATTATGAACCTAGACACATGTACAACCCCAACGTAGTTTGCCATTATTGTAATAGGATAGGCCATATTGCTCCCGTTTGTTACACTAGGCATAGGCACCTATCACAAAATCAAGCACACTACCATCACACACCTAACACCCGAGGACCCAATGTAAATTGGGTACCTAAAACTCATTGATGTGTTTTCATAGGTGTGCTTGAAGGCATCAAGTGTACTTTGGTACCTTGATAGCGGATGCTCCAAGCACATGACCGGGGATGCATCCAAGTTTCTCCAAATCAAACCCGCTAAAGGAAGAAACGTAATTTCTGGAGATAATAGCAAGGGAAAGATTATCGGCATTGGTTCGGTAGGTAAATCTGAAAACTCCTCTATAGATAATGTCTTGCTTGTTAAAGATCTTAAACACAATCTCTTGAGCATAAGTCAATTATGTGACAAGGGAAACCGTGTGACCTTCGATTCAAAATCATGCTCGGTAGAACGCCTTAGTGACAATAAGGTCATTCTACGTGGTGATAGAATCGATAACATATATATGGTTAACTTAGACAAATCTCCTTCTGGCTTTGCTAAGTGCCTCATGAGTAAAGAGGAAGACACTTGGTTATGGCACCGAAGGGTACCTCATATGAACATGAACCTTTTGAACAAATTGGTTTCACAAGACTTAGTAATAGGCATTCCAAAACTTAAGTTTGAAAAAGACGCCATATGTGATGCATGTCAAAAGGGAAGCAAGTTCGGGCTTCGTTTAAGTCTAAGAACGTTGTTTCAACGTCTAGACCGCTTTAACTTTTGCACATGGATCTTTTTGGTCCTTCTAGAACGAAAAGTTTTGGTGGCAATTACTTTGCGTTTGTGATTGTCGATGACTACTCTAGGTTTACATGACCTTGTTTCTAACTCATAAAAGTGAGGCATTTCACGTTTTCAAAAATTTTCTAAAGAAAGTTCGAAATGAAAAAGACACAACCATAGTAGCCATAAGAAGCGACCATGGGGGAGAGTTCGAACGAAATCTATTCTCAGATTTGTGTGACGAACTTGGCATTGATCATAACTTCTCAGCCCCACGTACACCACAACAAAATGGAGTGGTGGAACGTAAAAATAGATGCCTCGAAGAGATGGCAAGAACTATGATCAATGAGGCAAAAATTCCTAAGTATTTTTGGGCAGATGCCGTGAGTACCGCGAGCTACGTGTTAAACCGAGTCGTCATTCGACCGATACTCATGAAAATGCCCTATGAATTATACAAAGGAAGAAAGCCAAACCTTTCTCATCTTCGAGTCTTTGGTTGCAAATGTTTTATTCATAATAACGGCAAAGATAACTTGGGAAAATTTGATGCCAAGTCGGACGAAGGGATTTTTCTTGGTTATTCTCTACGTAGCAAGGCCTATAGAGTTTTTTATAAACGCACTTTGACTATTGAGGAATCCCCTCATGTTGTTTTTTCCGAAGATAATGCTCGCTTGGCGAGAAAGGCTATTTATGATGATCTTGTAGATTCACTCGAAAGATTACACGTTGAAGACGATGAAGAAAGCACGCCATTATACACCAACCCGCAACCACAACCTGAGGAAACACCTCAAGTGATGGTCGAAAATGAGGACCAAGCGGACAAAGAAGAACAAGAGGAAGCCCAGGAACAAGAGGAAACCGAGCTTCCCATCGCTTGGAGAACGCACAAGAACCATCCACTTGACCAGGTAATCGGCAGCTTCAACCGCGGGGTAAGTACTCGTAATTCTCTTAGGGACACCGTAGGCCACATGGCTTTTTTTTCTCAAATTGAACCTTCATCCATTTCCGAAGCAATAAACGATGAGCATTGGACCTTGGCTATGTAAGAGGAGCTAAACCAATTCAAACAGAATGACGTTTGGGAATTGGTGCCAAGGCCTGATGATCGTACGATTATTGGTACGAAATGGGTGTTCCGTAACAAACTCGATGAAAATGGAATAATCACTAGAAACAAAGCTAGGCTCGTAGCTAAAGGCTACAATCAAGAAGAAGGCATTGATTTTGAAGAAACCTATGCACCCGTAGCACGTTTAGAAGCTATTTGTTTACTTCTTGCTTTTGCTTCGTCTATGGATTTTAAACTTTATCAAATGGATGTTAAGAGTGCCTTCCTCAATGGTTTTATTCAAGAGGAAGTGTATGTTGACCAGCCCCCGAGGTTTGAAGACTTTGAGTTTCCCGATCATGTCTTCAAACTCAAGAAAGCGCTCTACGGTCTTAAACAAGCACCCCGTGCTTGGTACGAACGTTTGAGTAAATTTCTTTTGGATAGTGGTTTCCAAAGGGGAAAGGTTGACACCACACTTTTTATCAAGAGTAAAAACAATAACATCCTTTTGGTTCAAGTTTATGTAGACGATATTATATTTGGCGCTACTAATGAGTCTTTGTGCAAGGAATTCTCAATGCTAATGACTAGCGAATTTGAAATGTCAATGATGGGCGAGCTCACATTCCTTTTGGGACTCCAAGTCAAGCAAATGAAAGATGGCACGTTCATTTGCCAAGCTAAGTATTGCAAGGAGCTCCTAAAACGATTTGAAATGGACAACGCCAAAGCCATGGCGACCCCAATGAGCACGTCTGACCATCTTGACAAAGACGAGAAAGGTACAGAAGTAGAAGTCAAAAAGTATCGAGGTATGATCGGATCCCTTCTCTATCTTACCGCTAGTAGGCCGGATATCATGTTTAGCGTATGCCTTTGCGCAAGGTATCAATCGTGTCCGAAGGAATCGCACTTAACGGCGGTAAAACAGATCATGAAATACCTTGCCGACACGGTTAACGTTGGACTGTGGTATCTAAAAGGCTCTCCTTGTCATCTCGTTGGCTATTCCGACTCGGACTTTGCCGGTTGCAAATTGGACCGTAAAAGTACAAGTGGGACTTGCCACTTACTTGGTAGCTCTTTAGTTTCATGGTTTAGCAAGAAACAAGTCAGTGTTGCGTTATCCACAACCGAAGCGGAATATGTAGCCGCCGGTAGTTGTTGTGCTCAAATCCTTTGGATGAAGCAACAATTCGTGGACTATGGCCTTAGTATCAATCACGTCCCTCTTCGTTGTGATAATACTAGCGCCATAAGCTTGACGAAGAACCCCGTTCTTCATTCAAGGACGAAACACATTGACATTAGGCATCATTTCATTAGAGATCATGCTCTCAAAGGTGATGTCGAAATTGAGTTTGTTGAAACACACAACCAATTAGCCGACATTTTCACAAAACCTTTAGAGAAAGAGTCATTCTTCCGCATTCGAAGTGAACTCGGAATCCTTGACTCCACAATGATCTAAGTTGTGCATCTAAACTTATTAAACGTTTACTAACTTGAGCGTCGGAGAATTTTTCCTTTTTTTGCAGGTACCCCGTTCATGAAATCAGGGGGAACCATGCAAACAGCGCTGTCCAGGAGGCCCAACAGCGCTGTCTCAGAGAGTTCTCTTTCCCTTATACCTTGTTTTCAAACAAAACCACAAAGTTTTCAAACAGCGCTGTCCACCTTTGCAACAGCGCTGTCCACTTTTACAAATTTTTTTCTCAATCGTAATGGGTTCAAACAACGTTGTTCCAATGGGTTCAAACCCTTACACAATTACAGAAACTTTGGGAATATCGCTGTAGGGTACCCAACATCGCTGTCCAATTGACTCCTGTTTTTTTTTTAAAACTTGACGTAGAACAGCGCTGTAAAGGGGCACAACAGCGCTTTCCCAACAGCGATGTCCCCTGTAGAACATCGCTGTTCTGGTCAATTTTTTCAAAAAAATATCCGTTGGCACCAACATTAATTGCTCCAACAGCCATATTTTTGAAAATCTGGACGTTGGAGACCTCTTTTTCTATAAATTGGGACCCTCTCTCCTCACTTTTACACACACAAACACAATTCTCTGCAATATCTTTGCTTATTTCATCATCTCTACTCTTCTCTTTTGAGTTTTCTTTTCATGGGCAAGGACAAGAGCAGGGCTGCCACCTCCGAGAAATCAAAGTCCAAATCCCGGGCGCCTACGACATCCTCCGAGGAACGCCTCTACTATGGCGATGGATCGTACCTCTAGTTCGATTCCGAGGAGGAGCGCACCCGATTTCTCACTTTATTCTCCAAACGGGTAGTGGCTCCTCCACGGATCATCCCGTAGCGCTACCCGGAGCTGCAGGGCTACGACAACCTTGATGCGCAGCGTCTGTTGGGAAACGAGGCTTGGATAACGCAGCGGAAAACAAAAATTTATAGTCCAAAACTCGATTCCACCCAAGAACAACTTACGTAAATTACTAGCTATAGTAAGAAATTTACCTTAACGGTGAAAACGGAGAACGGAGGAACGGTCGGGGATGGTTTTGAGGAGATGAACGTAGCGCCAAATGTATGAAGCCTCCAACGTATCCACACGAACTTGGTCCGGAGTCCAAGATTAAACTTGTGCTAGCAAGTTTAATATAGGATAGTAAAAACTATAATAATACTACTTTGGGAGTAATAAATATATAGTAAAATATTTATCTTATAAATATTTGTTTATAATATTTTGTGTATATTTCTAACACTTTAGAAAAATAACTTTGAACACAAAATATAATTTTCTTCTCTCTTCTTTGTGATGGCTGAAAATTACACTACTAAAATGGGGAGGGATACTCACATTATATATAATACAATGTATTAAGAAAATGCTAGGAAATTGCTTAGGGACAAAAACAAAATGAGATTAGTGTAATGTCCCCAACCAACACAACAAGACAAGCATA